GTGCTGAGCCTCGGGGTACTGCTTCTTCTGGAGGTCCTGCGGGTGCTTCACCGCGAGTGTCTCACGACCGGAGCCTCTCTCCCCGTAGCAGCTGCGCGAGTGGTTTGCTCAGCGCACACGCTTTTGGAGTGTAGTTACCAGACCTGGAGACTCTGCCGCTGGAGACATTGGAGCTGGCTGTGTTGGAGCTACTCGTCTTGGAGGTGCTGGAGTTTCTGCTGGAGCTGGTGGTACCGGAGGTGCTGCAGCTGCTGGTCCTGGAGGTGCTCGTACCAGGAGTACTGGAGCTGCCGGGCCTGGTAGTGTTGCAGGCGCTGGAGCTGGAGGAGCTGGAGCTGGAGACCCTATGGAGCCTGGAGGTGCTGGGGCTGGAGGCGCTGGAGCATGAGGCACTGGCGCTAGAGGAGCAGGAGCTGGAGACATGGAGCTGTTGGAGCTGGACCTGGAGGCACTGGCGCTGGTGGCGTTGGAGCTGGCTCTGGAGACACTGGAGCTGTTGACCATGGAGTTGGAGGTGCTGGCGATGGGGGTGCTGTGTCTGGCGGTCCTGGTGCTGGAGGCACTGTGCGGCCGCGACCGTTTTTTGTTCCCTTGCTTCGCCAGGTTCTTAGTCTCACGTCTTCTACTTACCTTCCTCCTAGCTTACTGAGTCCCCCACCTCGCCAGTCGCAGCCACAGTTACAGCCAGGCTCCCCACTGCCTGCTCCCTCTCCTTACGCTGAGCAGGCAGACTCATTTACAGAGAGTCGTGAGCCTGAGTCTCGTCCTGCCTCGCCTCTTTGCACTGCTCGCACCAGTCATCGAGTTCCTCGTCCGTGTCCTCCTCTTGTCCCCGGCACCCACGCTATGGCACTTCGTCCTTCCTCTGTTCCACTGCGTGTTCCTTTGCCACCTCCTCCTGAGTCCTCTCTTCCTGCTGTCCCTAACCCTGAGTCAGACCTCGCTCATGCTGCCAGTCCAACTGGCTCTCGTCTCCTCGCCACTGCTGTCACCGACCCTTCTTTTGAGTCCACTGCTGCGTCTGCCCTCGTTGCTGAGCTGGTTGACTTTGCAGTTTCTTTCGTCTAGACTACGCCGCTGTTCTTGTTGCTGAGTCTGAGTCTACCAGTCCTCCGTCCGTCGGGGGTGAGTGTGCTCTTGGCACGGACGTCCTTGAGGACAGCCAGGAGGACTTTGAGTGTCTTGCGGCTGCTGTACCTTGTTTCGCTTCCATGCTGCCTGCGCTCTTACGCAGAGGCGATTACAGGTCCTTACTCCTCTCAGTGGCAGACAGCCATGGATGCCGAGATGGCATCCTGGAAGTCCAGAGGCACCTACGTCGACGCAGTTCCCCCGTGTGGAACGAACATAGTCGATGGCATGTGGATTTTCAGGGTGAAGTGGCCGCCAGGTTCTCCGCCTGCCTTCAAGGCGCGTTACGTTACTCGAGGCTTCAGTCAGCGACAGGGGGTCGACTACTTCCAGACCTTCTCCCCCACCCCGAAGATGACCACTCTTCGGGTGTTGCTGCACGTCGCTGCTCAGCGTGACTACGAGCTGCGCTCTCTGGACTTTAGTATAGCTTTCTTGCAGGGATGCGTGCACGAGGAGATCTGGCTGCGCCGCCCACCTGGCTTCACTGGGTCGTTTCCTGCAGGTACCCAGTGCAGCCTCCGGCGGCCAGTCTACGGTGTCCGCCAGGCGCCTCGCGAGTGGCACGACACACTAAGGACTACACTTGCGGCTCTGGGGTTTACTCCTTCGACTGCTGACCCGTCGCTGTTTCTACGCACTGACACGTTGCTGCCGCTGTTCTACGTCCTCGTGTACGTCGACGACTTGCTCTTTGCCACTGCTAACACTGAGGCACTGACCCTTGTGAAGTCGGAGCTGCAGAAGAGACACACCTGCACTGACCTGGGTGAACTGCGCAGCTATCTTGGCTTGTAGATCACCCAGGACAGAGCACGGCGCACCATCACCCTTACTCAGTCACACATGGTGCACCAGGTCCTTCAGCGCTTTGGTTTCCAGTTCTCTTCGCCACAGCCCACTCCTCTGTCTACTGGCCACTCGCTTTCAGCTCCACCTTCGGACGAGTCCGTAGAGCTGAGTGGTCCGTACCTAGAGCTTGTGGGTTGCCTCATGTACCTGATGACGTGCATGCGACCTGACCTCGCGTACCCTCTTTGCCCCCTGGCTAGCTACGTGGCTCCCGGTAGGCACCGAAAGGTGCACTATGATGCTGCGAAGAGGGTACTGCGTTACTTATGCAGTACGTCGGGCATGGGGCTCGTGCTTGGAGGACGGGGTCCAGTTGCCCTCACTGCTCACACAGACGCTTCTTGGGTTGACAACTCGGCTACGCAGCGGTCGTCACAGGGTTACACCTTCAGCCACGGTCCGGCTCTGTTTCTTGGCGGTCTACCTGCTCGTCTTCGGTTCTCAGTTCCTGTTGTGAGGCTGAGATCTATGCAGGCGCCATGGCTGCACAGGAGCTACGCTGGCTCACCTACCTGCTGACTGACTTGGGAGAGCAGCCTCGTTCGCCTCCAATTCTGTACGTCGACAAAAAGGCCATGCTTGCCTTGTGTCAAGAGCACCGACTAGAGCACAGAACGAAGCACATCGCTCTGCGATACTTCCTTGCTCGAGAGTTGCAGCAACGTGGTCAGCTTCGTCTTTCGTACGTGGCCACTAGGGCCAACACTGCAAATATATTCACCAAGGCACTTCAGTCTGGTGGTCATCAGCGCTTCTCTACTGTTTTAGGCCTTGTGCCTACTTTGCCTCACTTGCTCACTTCGTGACTTTACTTGTACTGTGATCTATATATAGACGTGCATGCTTACTCTTGCTATGCTATGATCACTGTTTTATTTGTGCTCTTTATATAACACTGCATGTGAACTGGCCTTGTGGCCCTTTGCTTGTGCTCGGACTGTGTGGTGACTTTGTGATTCACCCTGAGCTTGCCTTGTTTTTCTTGACTGGTCTTGTGACCACTTGTTCTCCCCCACTTTCCCTATGGGGGTGTGTCAAAATGTTATATTGTTTAGTTTGTGTTGGCTATAGTGGTGTAGCCCATAAGGGGTACAACCCAATTAGGGTTAGTATTTGTACCAAACTGTTTCATAGTTTATTCATTCTCGTTCTTTCTTATAACATCCCTCTCACTAGTGTGCCTGGACACTCTCGAATATACTCTGTCTACTTTACGAATTTGGTTAGAATCAGCATCCGAGACATCTAGGATACCCGCTTCCGCTCTCCAATCGGTTCCTCGCTGTCCTCCGCTCTCATCGTCCAGCTTTCGCGTTCAGCGACTTCACGCCAGGCTGCATCATGCCTTCCACGCGGCGCTTCCTGCTTCTCGCGCTGCTTGCGCTCATCGCCACGGCTAGTGAGTCGCATTCACTTGTCATTTCACGGGGTCCATTTATCGTCATGGTGTTCGTTATGCCGTTCCGACAAATCTGCAATTATACCTTTTTGTTTTTGTTTTTTTTTTCAATCTCGACCCGAGCTCATGCCTGTCCTGTTCCATCATCCTCCCCTCACCGCCTTCCCTTCCCTTCAGTCCTCGCGGAAACCGCCGGCAAGACCCGTTCACAACCGACGGCAGGCGAAGCGAAGGCTAAGGCTGCTACTAGCAATAAGCGGGCGGGCAGCTCGGGGGCGAGCGGATCAACTCCGTCTGGAAAGAAACCTTCCCGCTAGCAGCAGGCGGCAGTGCAGACGGCTGGCGGCAAGCGGCAGGGGCAGCAGAAGACGATGAGCGTGAAGCAGCAGAAGCCGTTTGATGGCCACGTGGCAGCGAACGGAAGTCGCGTGGCGGGAGGGAAGGGGCACGTTGTGAATGGCACGAGGCTGCAGCGGGGTGGTGCTGCTGGTGGTGCTGGGCTGCACAAGGAGGGCGGCGGTGCTGGTGGTGGGTGTGGCGGGCGAGGAGGCAGTGTGATTGGTGAGTGCGATTGCGTCATTGCACCTCTGCTGCTGACATCTTATTGGCTGCTTGTGACCACCACATGCACCTGTTTATGTTCAGTCATTGCTGCAGCTTGTGGCAAGCCAGTTGAGTTGACGAGTTGCTTGCGTATGGCAGGTGTTGTGGGCGCGTGGATGAGCGGCGAGCAGATAGTGGGATCAGCAGGCATGGCGAATGCCACTGGGCGCCTGGAGCTGAGGCTTGTCAAGTGAGCGCCGCTGCCTCTCCTCTCTGCCACCACCTGTGTCTCCACCCCTCCCTGCACTTGCATCTGAGCCCTCTTTCCTCTGCACGTGCAATGCAACTCGTTCCTCTGTGTTGACTCGTTCTACTCACACTCTGTCTCACCCCTCATGTGCTGACCCTCCTGTGTCTACCCCTCCCTGCACTTGCGTCTGTGCCGCTCTTTCTCGAACGGTCCTCGTAATACGTCCAAACAATACATGAGTGCCACTCTTTTTCTCCTACTCTCTGCCACCACCGTTGCCTCCACCCCTCCCTGCACTTGCATCTGAGCCCTCCTCTCCCTGCACGTGCAATGGAACTCGCTCCTCTTCTACTCACACTCCGTCTCACCCCTCCTGTGTTGACCCTCCCTCTTCTCTCTTCACCCCCCTTCCCCTCCCCCCCATCCCAGGACGGGATGTTAGAGACAGCCTATCATTGCCTCAGCACAACTTTTGCCAGGAAACATGTGTCTGTGAGGAGGAAGGGAATGGCATTAGGCAGGAGTTGATGCCTGGGCTTTCTCAGGCATTTACTGTAGAATGCACCGGTGGTTGCGGAGCTTCTGCAAGTTGCATGCAATCCATTCAAAAATTCTGTGCAGTGAAACCAAGGGCCAATTTAGGGTACCGGCACCACAATTTTCACCAGTTCTTATCCCTTGCTGGCGTGATTGTTTTCTGTCAGCTTCAATGCTATGGTGGTACCATACTGACTTTGGCTTGCACGGATTCTACGACTTGCAGAATGTACAACCTTGTTACATAACAATCAACATACCGCAGTAGTGTTTAATGCATCACAAGCTCTAAGATGGCAAGTGCAGCACGCCTTTCTTGTGCAGGGAGGTGCAGTGAGGGCAGAACCACTTGTCGTGGATGCTTGGCATGGCCATGCTGAGCCCCACACACTCGTAGTGGAACCACTCGCCTCCCTCACACTGCAGATACGGCAGGAGTGGGGGGGGGGGAAGGTGGAAAGAGGAGTGGGAGGTTGAATTTGGATGGCGTTAGTTTCCCAATTCCCCTCACACGCTCCTAGTGGAACTCCACGCCTGCCCTGCACTGACCTGAACATGTATGAGGAATATTCACCTGCATATTCCCTTACACATGCACATGCACATACATGCACATGCACATGCACATGCACATGCACATGCACATACATGCACATGCACATGCACATGCACATGCACATCCACATGCACATGCACATGCACATGCACATGCATATCCAGAGTCACACCAACAACATCCAAATGCACAGCCAGGGCATGCGAACATTCACAATCCAAACCACGTGCATTCCCAAAATCACATGCACATCATGCATGTGCCTGTGATAAAACTCACACATACAACTGTGCAGAATCTTACCTGCACTGGATTCTGAATCTTTACTTTTTTGCACAAGCAGCTTATATGAAACTCACGTTTGCGTTATCGCATGCGATCATGTCTCCAAAAGACACCTGGCAATGGCACCATAAGTGTGGGTGGACAGGCAGTAAGTGGAATAGAAACGTGAAACACAAGAGAAGAGGAAGGGGGGTACTGTGAGAAGGAATCAGCCAGAACTGAAACCGGGGGTTTGAAAGGAAGTTGAAAAGGATGGAGGAAAATGAATGAAGAAAGCACAGCTGCCTGCATATGAAAGGAAGTTAAAACGGATAAACGAAAGAAGAAAGCACAAGAACTTGCACAAGTAGAACTTGCATCAGTGAGTTTCATAGTTTCTTGAGGAGAACCCTGCCTCCCTCCCTCAAGAAACTATGAAACTATGAACTTGCAACAGTGAGTTTCATAGTTTCTTGGGTTCCCTCACTGCTCACAAGAACTCAAGCACAAGTAAGCAGAACTTGCATAGTTTGATACGAAGACCGAAACACGAGACGAGGGAGGGAAACGAAAGAAGAAAGCACACCTGCCCGCATATGCAATACGTTGGCTCATACACCTGCTCTATCGCCCCTCCGTCGGGCACCTCCCTCCTCTCGCCACCTGCCCCCACCGGCACGCCCCTGCCCACCCCTCCCTTCTTCCGTGAGAGTGGGAGGGCAGCAGGGGGCGGCATGAGGGCAGCACCCCTTCCTCCCCTCTCCCACTCCCTCTCCCTCCCTGCCTCCCTCCCTGCCTCCCTCCCTGCTTCCCTCCCTGCCCCTCTCTCACTCTCCCTCTCCTGGTTCCCTTGCCACGCCTCCCCCTTTACGTCCCCCACCCCCCCTCCCCCACCTCCTCCCCCTTCCCCACCACTGCCAGATGCCAGTACCGCCACCGCACTCAACCCCCGCCCTTCCCCCTTTGGTTCCCCCCAACCCCGCGCCCCTCCCCCCCCAGCTGCTGGGGAGGCAGCTGGGGCGGCAGGTGGGCGACGGGGGGTGACGTAGGGGGAGGTGAGGTTGGGGGAAGGAGAAGGGGTGCGGAGGGGTGTGGTGGAGGTGGAGGAGGGGAGGATCCGACGGTCAGGAACGGGCGTGAAGGGATCATCGACCATGAAGCGTCCGTCTGTGGGTATTGGCAAGGAGCAGGGAGAGACAGGTTGGACGAATGTCTTTGGTGGGGCAAGAGGCAAGGGGATGAGCAGGGGCTTTTGAAAATTCTAAAATAACCGCCTGCACCAAAATATGGGGTCTGAACTCAAGAAATCTCAGAGAAAATCTGGTAACCGTTTTGTATTCTATTTTTTCACATGGCTTTACAAGCAAGCAAACACCATACAACTGTTGATTCGTTTTCAGCAGCAGTTGCTGCACATGAAAACATCACTCCGCTCACCTTGCTCACTCCGCTCACCTTGCTCACTCCGCTCACCTTGCTCACTCCGCTCACCTTGCTCACTCCGCTCACCTTGCTCACTCCGCTCACCTTGCTCACTCCGCTCACCTTGCTCACTCCGCTCACCTTGCTCACTCCGCTCACCTTGCTCACTCCGCTCACCTTGCTCACTCCGCTCACCTTGCTCACTCCGCTCACCTTGCTCACTCCGCTCACCTTGCTCACTCCGCTCACCTTGCTTGAGGTCCTCTGAGAAGTGCTGCAGCTCCTGGTTGAGACTGCGCAGGTGACTCTCCAGCTGGGGTGCAGGGGGCAAGGGGAGGAAAGGAGGAATGAAGGGCCGAATGGATAGACAGGGGAAAACAGAGGGTAAGGCAAGTGCTGCAGCTCCTGGTTGAGACTGCGCAGGTGACTCTCCAGCTGGCGAGGAAGGGGAGACGAGAGGATGGAGGGCTAGAGGAGGGAGAGCCCCGAGGGTAACACAAGTGCTGCAGCTACTGGTTCAAACTGAGGTGGACGGCACAAGGAGAGGAATGGAGGGTGAGATGGGTAGGACGGGAAATATAGACGGTAAGGCAACTGTTGCAGACGCACAGCTGATCCTTGTTTGACCTTGGGTGGAAGAGGAAGGCGTGAATGGAGAGGAGTGAAGGTGAAGTGCTGGTTCAGACCCAGCAAGTGACTGACCCATGCCCGCACACTCCACCACCCATACCCATGACCACTCATCCACGCCCCACACACTCACCAGAGCGCTCACTTGCTGCCCCACACACTCACCAGAGCGCTCACTTGCTGCCCCACACACTCACCAGTGTGCTCACTTGCTGCCCCACACACTCACCAGTGTGCTCACTTCCTGCCCCACACACTCACCAGCGCGCTCACTTGCTGCGCCAGAATGACCTTCTCGTCACACAATGCCCGCATCCTCCCTTGCTTCTCGGAAATCTCCTCCCTCAGCCTCTGCAAAGCAGCGGCCCTCTCGTCCCTGACGTCATCGCTGACATCATTCTGTCCATCCCTCTCCGTCCCCTCTTCCTCCAACCCCTCTGCCACCTTCTCTGTGGAAGCAGCAGTCACACCGGTCACACTGGCAACTTCTGTCTTTACCACCACAACATCGTCTTTGGTTTCCTTCACCTGCTGCCCCACCTCCTCCTCCTCCTGCTGCTGCTGCTGCTGCTGCTGCTGCTGCTGCTGCTGCTGCTGCTGCTGCTGCTGCTGCTGCTGCTGCTGCTGCTGCTGCTGCTGCTGCTGCTGCTGCTGCTGCTGCTGCTGCTGCTGCTGCTCCTGCTGCTGCTGCTGCTCCTGCTGCTGCTGCTGCTGCTGCTGCTGCTGCTGCTGCTCCTGCTGCTGCTGCTGCTGCTGCTGTGCTCGTGGCCGTTTCTTTCCGATGCTCTTCCTCCCCCCTCCCTCCTCCACCTCCTCCTCCACCTTCACCGTACCACCCACCCACCCCTCCCCCTCCACGCCTTCCCTCTCCCCCCTCCCTCTCTTCCTCGGTCTCCCCCTCGGTCGCTTCTCCCCGCCTCCCCCTACCTCCTTATCAGCCTTCACTGCTGGTGTGCCGCCTGGAGCAAGCAAAGGCATGCCCCCTTGTGCAAGAGAAGAGGAATTTCCCACCTGAGCTGCATGACCAGCACTGTCACTGCGTGCATTGCCCTGAGTGGACCCATCTGCAGCGGCGCTATCAGTAGGACCATCACCACCATCACCACCCTCAGCCGCACCACCATTTGGCACATCAACTCCCTCACTGTATTCGTCGACATTGCCATCATCGTCAGCATCTCTGTCGCTAGCACCATCGTCCTCATCCCCCTCCCCCTCCCCCTCCCCATCCCCATCCCCATCAAGACCCCCATACCCGTCGCCATCCCCATCCCCGTGCCCATGTGGGCCGGCAGCAGCCGCTCTGACGGCAGCGGCCTCCCTCTCCTCTATGGCCGTGAGCCCCACCCGAATGTCGCTCTGAATCTCGCTGCGCAGCGCTGGGAGGAGGGAGCGAGGGAAGGAGGGAGGGCGGGAGGGAGAGAGGGAGGGAGGGAGGGAGGGAGAGAGGGAGGGAGGGAGCTCAGGTGGATGCTGCGTACACAGACCTGAAATTTGCTTACGCCTGTGGGCAGGTTGAACCGTTGTCTTTTGCACAAACAAGGGACATTGTGTTTCCAAGAGTGGCACTGTGGCAGTAGGGTGGGAGGGCAGGGGAGTAAGGGAGTGCGGGATTGGAAGGGGAGCTGAAAAAGGGGCGATTTTGCGAGTGGAGGCGAGTGGAAGAGTGAGGGAGTGGAAGGGTAAAGAGTGCAGGCGAGAATGGAGGTGTATGTGGAGGGAGAGGGGGAGTCACAAAAAAGGAGTACGAAATTAGAACAAACGCAGACAGGCAGGATGTTGGGTTGGGGGAACATGGTGGAAGGAAGCAACGAGAAAGAGAGAGTGGTAGACAGGCAGACAGGGAAGAGACAGGCCAAAAGTGAAGGGACAATGAGTGTTGTTCGCAAATATTTGCAAGGGAGCCTAGAATTGGCAGATACGATACACACACCCTGGCAACAGGCGTGCAGCACAGCACCCACCTTGGCATCGGCCGTCCAGCTCCCTCATGAGTGAGAGCATGCGCTGCAGCTCGTGGGGGAGTGATGACACCTCTGCCAGGAGCGAGGGTGGGCGGAAAGAAAGAGTCAAATGAGTCCTTCATAGGTGAAGTGACAGCGTGCACTGCAGCGTGTGCGGCAATGCCGACACCTCTGGAAGGAGGGCGAGTGGGCGGAGGAGGGAGAAATGGCGGAGGGGGTGAGATCTCTTATGAGACAAAGCAGGCGCTGAAGCTGAAGGGGAATAAAGACACCTGGAGGGGGGGAGGATGGGCATAAGGAGTGATGAAAGCGAGTGCATGCGCTGCTGCGTGTGGGTCAATCAAGACATTTCTACAAGTGGGGGGGTTGGGCGGAAGAGAGAGTCCGTGTGGAAATTCCGTGAGGTGCGACGTCTCATGAGTGACTGTGACAGCAGGCGCTGCAGCTTGTGAGGTTGTGACGTGACCTGTGGGCGTTGAGAGGGGTGTGGAGGAGTGGAAGAGAGGAAGGATGGAGGGGGGTTGAGGAGGGGGGGTGGGGTCTTATAGCAGTGAAACCTCTCAGGCACGTTGAAGGGGGCAGATTGCGGGTAGCGAGGGCAGCTCTAGAGACGACTCTGGGGGAGGGATGGAAGAGGGGAAGGGTGAAGAGGAGTGAAACAGCGCAGGAACGCATGGTGCGAAGAGCGTGTGGGAAAGTGAGAGCATGTGCGACCACAGGACCCGCATCACATTCGTTGCATCACATCCGTTCCAATCACATCGGCTAGACTCACCTGCCAGGAAGTCGTCCACGTACACGCCTGTGCGCGTCGCTGCCATCCTCCCCACCGCACCACACCGAACCGCAACGCGCCTGCTCTCTTCCGTTTAAAGTACTGTCGATTCAGTCACATGTCAGTCCCTTCGTCCGCGTCTCACTCTCCTGCCGCACGGTGTGACGGAATGACTACTACGCTTCGCGGAGGCCTGCGGCGAAACTAGAAACTAGCGCTGCCAGCTAATCTAGCCGCAACGCGCGATGGTGGCAGCCGGCAGTAGCCGGCCGAGGCGATGCGAAGAACGAAATTTGCGAAGCACGTCGGAGCTGCGCGCCGAGCGCCAAGCCTCGGAGTCCCAACGAAATACAACTTTCGCGGATAAACCTTCGCGGAACAGCCTCGCCGCGCCGAAGAACCAAGCCGTGGAATCCACCGATTTGCCTCAGACTGTCTAATTTCAAAACCTCAGAGGCGGATCGCGCTTTGCTTGCACAGGAGTGGCGGCGAGTGGAGTGGCTGGGTGGTGGTAGCTTAACCGCTTGCACCGTCACGCTTCTCTTTTGAACCGTAAAATAACGTGTAGAACCTCTCTCAACTAAGGTCGAACTTTGATGGGCCACGCGTGTCCCAATGGCGGATCGATCCCAGATCTCCCAATTTTTGGATGGGAACTAGGGTTACCCGGAATTATTCCACTTGTGGACTGGAGCCTCAAACGTCGATATTTGGGCCGATTGTACGACAGCTTTACGATTTCCTCTACTAGTTCCTCCCACCGTCCTATTACATTCTCCGCCCGATCTCTGTCCTACACAATCTCCCGTAGTGCCGAATTTTGTCGTATTTCACGCTCTAGAGTCGGCGAACCACTCCTAACAGAGTCCACATCGGGCTGTACTTGGAAGCGCTCCGAAATCCCGTGCTTTTCGTTCTCAGTCCCTTTGGCGCGTGTCAGCGGGCCCGCATGGTGTACGTCGAGACGTGGGACGAGTTCGCGGAGAAGGCGGAGGTGCTCTTTCGGGCCGACCCCTCCAAGGTCAGTTTCGGCTTGTGCGCGTAACCAAATCCCAACCCGAAACGGTGTGATTGAGCGATCTACTTGTGCTCGGCGTGCACCTTCTCTCAAAGCACGTGGCGGCTCGTCAGGAGTGGCGGTTCCAAGCAACGACGCAATTGAGGGCAGAACAGCCCGCCGGCAGCCCCACGTTAATCCGCTCTGCCTCTATTCCCCCACCCCCCCGCGCTTCCCCCTCCTTCTGGCGCGGCTGGTCGGCAGCTCTGAGGCCATCCGCTCCTCCCCTCTCCGTCCACCCGTTCCGCCCTCCCCTCTCCACCTGCTCCACCGTTCCGCCCTCCCCCTCCACCTGCTCCACCGTTCCGCCCTCCCCCCTCCACCTGCTCCACCCGTTCCGCCCTCCAACGTTCCGCCCTTCCCCATTCCACCCGCTCTGCTTGCCCTCTGGACGTTAGAGAAGCTGCTCGAGCAACTTCCTGTCCCCCCTCTCCGCCTCTCCCCCGAATGGTCCTTCATTGAATAAGCATGCAATACAACAAGGTCGAGTCATACGGTAAGGACAGGCATGCAAGGTAGGGGTCTAAGGCAGCTCAAAGTCGGGCTCCAGCATGTGGAGGAGGTCGCCGGTGTCGAGGGGTTCTTCCTGGAAGGCGGAAGTGGGCGCCTCGGCCTCGAAGGCCGCCAGGGTCTTGGCGCAGAGGGCGTTCGCTTGGCCCCTCTGAAGAGCAATCGACCACCTCTGGCGGTAGGAGTGGAAGAGCAATCGACCACCTCTGGCGGTAGGAGTGGAAGAGCAATCGACCACCTCTGGCGGTAGGAGTGGAAGATCAATCGACCACCTCTGGCAGTAGGAGTGGAAGAGCAATCGACCACCTCTGGCGGTAGGAGTGGAAGAGCAATCGACCACCTCTGGCGGTAGGAGTGGAAGAGCAATCGACCACCTCTGGCGGTAGGAGTGGAAGAGCTTCACCGCCTCACGTGATGTGGGCTCGGCGTTGTGGAGGCGTTTGGCCGCGAGGTTGGCGCAGAGGCGCATGAACTCCATGACCCCGGGGGAACAGCACCCGTAGGTTTCGACCGCCATGGCTATGAAGCCCACCCACTGCCGCCGGTTGCGGTACTTGTGCTCCTTCCCCCTGGCCGCCACCCTTGCAGCCCAACCCACACCTCGGCTGGCTGTTGGATCCTGTGAAGAGATGGGGTCTGTCATGGTAACGTCAATAAGCCACACGGCCCCTGAGTCCAGGTGGCGGATGGCAAGGTCTGCCTTCAGGCCCTCCACAGGTGAGTATAGGGTTGTTTCCTTCTGAACCGCGAACCCTGCCTCCGCTGCTATCCTCTCTCACTCGTCCCTCAACGTGTGATGGGTCCCCGTGCGCCCCTTCCCCGTGCCGCATCGGAGTAGGTGGTTCGGGAGGCGGGGGTCCAGAATCCTAACCTTTTTGTTGCAGTCGCACACGCCCGGCACTAGCTGCGTCATGCCCAGGCGGAACGCAGCCATCGAGTTGAAGTGGTGGCCGGGGAGGCAATGGGGTCTGGTGACGGGCAGGCAAGGACATGAGCCAATCGCCCACCCCGGGTCCAATGAGGGACTGGAGCCGTTGGGTGTGTCCGAACAGTGGGTTCAGCTCGAGCCCCCTGCTCTCCTGCAGCTGCACCGCTGCCCTGCCTGCGTGGACATGGAGGGAGAGCTTGTGTTGCAGCTTCGTGAGGTCTCCCCCCTCCCGCAGTTGTTGGAGGATTCCCACTGCTTCAGTGGGCAGGGTCAGTTCTGCTGCCGCCAGCTGTTGCGGCAGAGGAGATCCGCTCGTGTTGTCCGCGGAGAAGAGAGGCAGTAGCAGCGCTACTTGAGGGTGCGAAGGTGTCGAGGTCGCGGAGAGGAGATGGGCGGCTGCTGCTGTTGAGGCGAGGCAGCTCGAGAAGCGCTCCGCGGCTGGGTCTGCGATGCCTAGTCCTCCAAGGGTCGGGGGGAGGGAGGCCTGGCGCCACGTCCGCAGCTGCTCGTCTCGTTGTCGTGGTAGGGGGATGGCGGCCGAGGTGAGGAATGTTTGGAAGTTCCCCTCGCCCCAAGACCCCCAATCGGCAAAGGGGAGGGAGTCAGGCGGCGTTGTTCGGAGGAGATAGGAGACGCGGCGGCTGATGCATTTGGTAAGAAGGAGTAGGCAGAGCTGTGGCTCCAGCTTGGCGAGGAGCGAATCTGGCGCCACAGCCTCAGCCATTCTGACGCGGAGGAGGTTGGCGCAGTCCGCGTGTGGCCCCACTGGGCTGCCCAGGACCTTGAGGCCTGTGGGCGACCAAGGAACGCCTGTGGGCAGGTGCTACGGCCGAGGTGCGGTGGGTGGCCATGCCGCGCACTTGGCGGCGTTGTGGTGAAGACCTAGTGGAGCGAGGGCCGAGGTGAGGCTATTGAACGCGGCGGTGCATTCCGTAGCAGGACCGAGCAGCGTGATGTCGTCGGCGTACGCGAGTACGATGACTGTGGGGTGGGCGGCCGCGACTGTTCTTAGCGCGGGGTGGAGTGCAGCGGCGAAGAGCAAGGGTCCCATGGGGTCCCCTTGTCGGACACCCCTCGTGGATTGGAGGTTGCTGGTGTTGAATGCGGCATCGATGGTGAGTTCTGATGGCGCGCCATAGGAGCAGCGGGTGAAGGGGATGAGGAAACTTAGAGGGCTGTCGCGTAGGCCCTCAAACACCGCACCCCTTTCTACAGCGTTGAACGTGTTGGAGATATCGAGTTGGAGGGCGAGGTGGGAGCCGTTTTCCTCGAGGTAGGTGCGCGTTGCGTGGATTATAGCCTCAGCTCCGCCTGGGGTGGCAACCCCGAACTGGAAAGGGGTGAAGTGGTGGCGGGCGAAGGGCGCGGCGATCAGCAGGGCAGCCTTGGCTATGACGCGATGGATGACTTCGCCCACCGCGATCGGCCTCGTTCCGCCCTCAGGCTTGGTGAAGGCCAGCAGCTTCGATGTGGTGAGCAGCTGCGCGGCTTCCTTGGTGAGGTTACCGGCGAGGGCCGTGTTGACGAGGGCGAGCAGGTGTGCGGCGACGTCAGGGTGACGTAGAGCTGCGTCCCTGACGTGCTCAAAAGTCATTCCGCTGGGCCCCGCGCCTACTCCGTTTTTGCACGACGAGAGCATTTGGCGAAGGTCCTGTTAGGTGAGTGCCGGCGCAGGAGAGGTGGTGTAGCTATTGAGCCAGTCAGGTGTGTCGGCTGATCCAAGAGGGTGGCGCAGCGCAGCGCAGGTAGGGATGAGCAAGGGGCGAACACGAACATGTCTGTGCGCAGCGCAGGTTATCGAGGGTCTCAGGAGAGTTGGGGCTGACTGGGGTGCTTTCCAGGGCCTGGAGAGCCTTCGCCAAACTTCTGGAGAGCTTTCCGGTGTCGTCAGGTGCTTGTCTGGGCGCAGGTGGGGAGTTGACCGCGTCGCAGGCATCCGCGACGCCGTGTACAAGTCGTCCCATTTCCCCTGGCGAAATTGAAACAGCCTCGCCGAGATCGCAGGCCAGTCAGGTTTGCGTGTTGAACTGGCTCGGAGAGTCAGGCGAGGGAGAAAGAGGAGGAGGGTCCAGGCTTGGAGGGGGTCAGGGTCGCTGGCCAATCGTAGGAGTGGTGTCAGAAGGCATGTGGCAAAGGTATCGCGGATGATTCTGGGGGATTGGCGAGAGTTGCGAAGGACCCCAGTGTCCCAGTTGGCGATCCCCGCAAACAAGGAGGCGTTGTTCGCCAGTTGTTTGGGGGAGAAAAATGGGGATGGGGTCCTTTCTGGCGGGACCAGGTTGACTTGGCTGGTTCGGGCAGGTGGTCTGGGCGTGGCTCGGCGTGACATTGGGGGGGAAATTGCAGATGCGGCTCGCCGGTGTGGTTGCCCACATTGGGAAGATGCTTCTGCACCATCCCCTTCTTCGTCTTCTCCCTCGGTCGATGGGTTGGGGTTACCCTCCTGCGAGAGGGTATAATTGGGGTCAACCCACTCTTCATTTCTCAGATTCTCGTTCTCTCTCTCCTCGCCTCCAGCTCCGCCCCTCTCGTCCTGGTCCAGGTCCTCTCTCTCCTCGCGCGGCTCTGGGTCTCCCCGTATCAGATTCTCCTGTGCGGTCAGCCGCCTCGCCAGTGCGGCGTACCCTCCTCTTCCTGCCTGGGGGCTGTCGCGGCCTCCTCGTCTGCCCCCGCGCCTTCCTCGAGCGCTGTTCTACCCGCCACGCGTTTGCGCAGAGTTTGCGCGTTGGATTCGCGGGGACCACCACTGCAGTTCTTGTTTTGAGACGTCTCAAAACACTTCTTCAATCACGGGGACCACCACTGCAGTTCTTGTTTTGAGACGTCTCAAAACACTTCTTCAATCACGGGGACCACCACTGCAGTTCTTGTTTTGAGACGTCTCAAAACACTTCTTCAATCACGGGGACCACCACTGCAGTTCTTGTTTTGAGACGTCTCAAAACACTTCTTCAATCACGGGGACCACCACTGCAGTTCTTGTTTTGAGACGTCTCAAAACACTTCTTCAATCACGGGGACCACCACTGCAGTTCTGGTTGAACACCTCTGGTGCGCGATGCCGGGCTCTCGTTCACGTGGGCGGGAAAGATCCCCGTCTCGTGCGCACGGGGATCGGCGGAGTCAGTCGCCGTGGCAGCCTGCTCAATCGCCGGCTCTGTGCCCAGAGGTGGCACACGCGTCAGCGTGTCCCGCGGTGATTGCGCCTGGTCCGTCCCGTCCGTTGCCATCTTCGCGTGGTTCTCCGCGCCATTTCTCGCCGCGGCAGATGTCACCACTGCGGGCCTCCTCTCCTGCTCGGGCCCAGCCTGCCCCCAGTCTTGGTCGTCGACACCAGCCGCGTTGTTACTGGCGTCCGCGGCAGCCACAGTCGCAGGTGGCAGATCCCGCGCCTGTTGTCGCGGCTGCGGCGACGGCTGTGGCGGAGGCTGTCGGGCGCGCTCTCGCTGATCTTCCCGAGTGCGCGCGATGGCCCCCGCGCCGGCGTTCGCTCCTGTTGCTGTCGGTCAGATCCCCCCACCCCTTGATTTGTCCCCGAATCCCCCGAATCCCCTGGATGCTCCCCCTCCCCCGCCTCCAGGACTGGTTCCAGCTCGACCCCCTGTTCTGCATCATGTTCCGCCTCCAGATTCCCCCCTGCCCGATTTTCAGTTCCCGCCTCAGACAGGGCCGCAGGGCATGTGGACTGTTGATCGCGGCGGCCCCCCTGTCTTCCACCCGTTCCATGGTGGTCAGGGGCCGCATCATCAGTTGCCGGTTCCGCAGCCGCACGGCCCGCCCTTCGTCCCCCCGCACAACGCGTTTCCTCTTCCCGGGTTTCAGCTGGCGTCTGGGCGGGCTCCGTACTTCCCTCCGCCAGCCGCGGGCTCTCGTCCAGGCGGCCGAAGTTCGGCGCAGGCAGCATCAGGGGAGATGGATCTGGACGCGGGAGAGTCTGCCGCCGCGGCGTCGCCTCAGCTGAATCGCCCCCCACGTCATCGCTCCACAGGCATTCGCCTGAGCTCTTGCGTGGTTGTGGAGCGGATTCGTGCACGGACCCGCGCTCCTCCTCGCCCAATGCAGTTGTCGAGCGATGTCCTTGTGCGCCTGTGGCACGGTCGGGCGTTTGTCGAGGTGGTGACGAATATTCTGGAGTGCGCGTTGGGGGCGATGGGCGACTCAGCTGCTGAAGATTGTTTGATGGATGCTGGGCGGATGGACCGTTGCCAGCTTGGTGTTCGCGACCTTGTGCACAAGCTTGAGTGTGTGTTGGCAGTGCCCGGGCAGGAGCACGGCTTGGGCGAGGTCGAGGCGTTCGCCCTCGAGCAGATGGGCTTGATGCTTCAGTCGGCATCAGCTGTAGATGTCGTAGATGGCTGCGTGTCAGCACTCCGCCTTGGCGATAAGGCGGTTGCTCGTGTGTTGGAGTTGGCCGGCGTGTGTGACTTTGTGTAGGCCTCACCCTGCGGTGGTAGCACAGAGAGTGCGGCACTGTTGTGCCTTCTATTGCCGGTATGTCCGACATTGTTGCCCTAGTTGCTGATTGTGTCCTTGCTAGCCTCTGTCATTGTTCTAATCCCTGTAGTCTCCCCTTTGTCTGTTCTTGTCGTTTCCTAGTGCGCGGCCGAAGGCCGCCGGCGCGAGCCGTTGTCACAGGAAGAATGATGAACTATGAGCTGAAGAATGAGCTCAGGAGCATAGCTCCTGAGCGTAAGTACTAGGAAGGAGGAAGAGGCTCTCCTCTCCCCCTCTCTTCCGCCCTGTCTTCCGCCAGGTCTTCCCCCTCTCTTCCCCCCTCACTTCCCCCCTCTGTTTCCCCCTCACTTCCAGCCTCTCTTTCCCCCTCACTTCCCCTGTCTCTTTCCCCCCTCACTTCCCGCATCTCTTTCCCCCTCTCTCTCCCTGCAGTTCTGCTATGTGAGCAAGTACCGCCACTGCATGGCAAGCTGGTGCTCGAGCCCATCAACCACCTCGTGTGTTCGCTCACACACATTCGCCCACTCCCATCCACCCACCCTGCACTGCACCCCACCCAACCCCCCTTCCTTTGGCCCTTGCAGTTCCGCTATGTGAGCAAGTACCGCCACTGCGATGGCAAGCTGGTGCTTAAAGCCACAGACGACCGCGTGGTGAGTGGTGGTGTGGGTGGGTGGGTGGGTGGGTGGTGGTGGCAGGGCGAGAGGGAGGAGAGTTCGAGTCTCTTTGAGGTACGGATGGGGTTTGCCTGTACAGGCACTTCAGCGATGGCAAGCTGGTCCTCAAAAGCTGCAACGAGAGAGAGGGGGGGGGTGAGTCCGAGTCTGTGGGTAGAACGGGGGAGCAGGGAAGAGGGGTGTTCTTTGCTCTGTTCCACGCCCTTCCCCTCTTCCCTGCTCCCCCGTTCCCTGCTCCCCTTTCCCTGCTTCCCCGTTCCCCCCCTCCCTGCTCCCCCTTTCCCTGCTCTACCTTTCCCTGCCCCCCCTTCCCCTGTTCCCTCTTTCCCAGTTTCCCTTTTCCCTGCTTTCCCCTTCCCTGCTTCCCCCTTCTGTGTTGTGTGTGTGTTGCCGAATGTCGAGTTGAGCTTTGCATTCGCTTTCGGGCTGCCCGTTTTTTTTTTTTTTTTTTTTCACGTAGAGTTAAGAGTTTCCGTCCAAATGCTGGCGTCAAAACGCTCGACGCTCCCCTTCCTGAGCGACAAATTTAACATGGGAAGGGGTTTGGTGGGGAAGGGGTTTGGTCGGAAACGGCCTGGCCTTTCCTGGTGTTGCCAGGTCAGGGGGCAGCGAGTGCGTGCAGGTTGGTTGGAGTTTGTGCTCCTGCCTCGTGCACTGACAGGAGGTCCTGGAGGGCCATGGTCATGGGTCATGGGTCATGGGTCATGGGTTTATGGGACATGGGTCATGCGTCATGCCATGGGGCAAGTATCCGCCGCTGTTTTGGGGTAGGAGGCTTGTCTCCGCCCTTTCGCGGCGTTACGTTGCACTCGGATCAGGCACTGAAAGTAGAACCTTCCTGACTCTCCTTCCCCCTTCCCCCTTCCCCCCCCACTCCCAGTGCATCAATTTCAGCACACACCTACCAGGCACAGGACGAAAGAAATATGGAGCTACTCAAAGCACGTTCTCGCCTACTCCTCCTTGTCTCTGCCTTTTTCTTCCCTACTCTACCTCACAGCAGTGCCGCCTGACTCCCGTTCCCTCCCCCTTCCCCACCTCCCCCAACCCATCCGCAGTGCATCAAGTTCCGCGCAGGACGCCAAGAAGATGGAGCGCCGCAAACCACGGCCTTTTCGTATCCACCTGTTTCTTCCCTGCTCTCCTGGCTCCTTCCGACTCTCCTTCCCCCCTTCCCCCCCCCCCCCTCCTACCCCCCTTCCCCTGCCTCTTTCTCCCCCACCCCAGTGCATCAAGTTTCGCACTGATCAAGCACATGACGCCAAGAAGATGGAGCACCTCAAAGTGCAGCCTTCTTGCCACTTCCTGTTTCTTCCCTACTCTGCCTCAAAACGTCTCTTGCTCCTCACCCCCCTCCCCTCCTCCCCCTTTTCCCCCCCTCTCCCCAGTGCATAAAATTCCGCACAGACCAGGCGCAGGACGCCAAGAAGATGGAGCGCCTCAACAACCTGCTCTTCACCCTCATGGCTCGTGGCCCAGACGGTACGAGGCCTCATGCACATACACACTCACACACTTGCACACTCACACACTTGCACACTCACACACTTGCACACTCACACACTTGCACACTCACACACTTGCACACATACACACATACGCACACACACATGGTGTTGGTATCATGTTCCCACCCGCACACGCCAAAAAGATGAACCGCCTCATCAACCTTCTCTTCACGCTCATGGCTCAATGACCAGACGGTACGAGCCCACATACACACATACACACATACACACATACACAGTCGTTCACTCGCACACTCGCGCATGCACACATGCACACATGCCGGCACGCACACACGGAGAAGATGGAGCGCCTCATCAACCTGTGCCTCATCAACCTGTGCCTCATCAACCTGTGCCTCATCAACCTGTGCCTCATCAACCTGCGCCTCATCAACCTGCGCCTCATCAACCTGCGCCTCATCAACCTGCTCCTCACACTTGTGGCACACACACAGGCGCACACAACCACATGGTAATGGTATTACATCGCCCACATGGACAGGCCATGATGGTACGACCCCTCACGCTCACCCACTGGCCACGCACACACTCACACAGCAGTGTTAGAATACTATAATGCGCTTTGCTTGGCTCGCAAAGCTCGATTCCCTTTTTGCTCCGTTACCACGCTCACCTACATCCCGTCTGCTCTCTTCCCTCTCTTGCCAACTTTTTCTCTTCCCCGCTCTATTGTCATTCTTCTTCTGTGTCGCCCGCCTGGTTCTGTCTCCATGTGTTGGGACCCGTCTGCTCGTTGGCAGCGCCTCCGCGCCGGAGTTCGTCTATTCCCATGGGTTGGGTTCCTCCTCGTGTGTCCCTCCCATGCGCTCCTTGCCGCAGCCATAGTTCAGCCAGAAGGAGAATACTCCGTTGTGTGGGGGGGGTCATACCTGAGGAGGCTTTTGAGGCAACTCAGCGCACATATGGCTGTTTCGGATACCATGGCCTCCTCAACTGCCTCCTCCTCAACCGCCTAGTCCACAACTGCCTTGGCCATTTCAGATACTATGCTTTCCTCACCCTGCCATGCTCGAGTCTTTCCCCTGTGTGGCCGCTATTGTTGCTGTTCCCAACAGCTGTGGTGGAGTCTTTCTGCTAGGAGCCCCAGCAATTACCTTGTCTCATCCATATATCCCCCACCCTCACCTTACCATGCTTGCGCCTCTCCCGCGTGCTGTTGCTGCTGCTGTGGTTCCCAACAGCTGTGGTGGAGTCACTGTCGTTGGAGCCCCAGCAGCTAGTGTCTCAGCAGCAGCAGCAGCAGCAGCAGCAGGCAAGGAGAGGGAGGGGGCGGCGGCAATGACCACATGCATTGCCCTGGCCCACACAATATATTGCGCATGTTGCAGGCATCACACAGTGGTGATTTCTTAATCGACTGGAAAATAATCAGAGTTGAGATCAGGCCCTCAGATTGGTTTTGGGCCACGCTGATTGATCAGTGTCGGGTACAGAAAAAAACGCTGATCGTCAGTGTCACCTAGAAAAAAAAGCTGGAAAATCAGAGTCATTAAATAATAAAATAATTAAAAAAACAAACAAGAGGCGACAAGGTCGTCCTAGGGTTGCGAAGCATTTTACAAAAGCTCTCTGGTATGTATTTTAACTATAAACTCTTGCGAAGAAAAAAAAAAAAAAAAAAAAAAAAAAAAAAAACTAGAGGCGACAAGGTCGGCCTAGGGTTGCGAAGCATTTTACAAAAGCTCTCTGGTATGTATTTGAACTATAAATTCTTGCGAAAAAAAAAAAAAAAAAAAAAAAACAAAACAAGAGGCGACAAGTCGTCCTAGGGTTGTGAAGCGTTTTGCAATATTTCACGCCATACTATATCATACAATATTATATATAGTATCGAGGTTTGGCACTTAATTTTGAATTGTGTCCGCATGGAAGAAAACACCCGCGCGCAAAAATCGAACCATCCACCTTAAGATGCCACAATCACATTCGATCGACTGCGCTTGAAGCACCATTGCTAATCTGTGTTTTAAATTATGGTAAGCTTTTCTTTGCGACGAATCTGCAATCATTAGGGTTTGTTCCCCGTCTCTTTCTTCTCTCTTCCTCTCTTGGTTTCTCTTGGTTTGCTCCAGCTTCCCAAGCTCCAGCTTCCCAAGCTTCCCAAGGTCAGAAGTTGTTCTACTAATGTTTTAGAACTAAGTTAGGTGATAGTAATAAACTAAGTTAGACTAGAATGTTTTTTATGGTCGTATTCTACTCGTCTACTTAGTGTTGGTCGTTCTAAGGGGCTGCAAACTGTTTCCGTATTAGGTTCTAGGCTTTCTGTAGGACTTCAGCTTATTTCATCGCGTGATATTCCTTACGTCGTTCACCTTGCATCCGTTGTCCATTCCCTATCGCGCTCTTTACCTTTCCATGATTAGATAGGCTCTTTGGTTGTTGTTTCCTTCTCTTTTTTCTCCTGTCCATCCTATGTTCTTTCTTTTCCGGTCTCATTTTTTCTGTTTCTTCATATGTTATCTGATTCGTCCTTCTATTTACTAGGGTTCCTTTTGTTCCTCTATTCTCGTTTTTGTTTGCTGTTGTTCTTTGTGTCAAACTTATATGCTATAGTCTATCTAGGCTGTAGTGGGGTAGCTCATATAGGGTACAACACTTTTAGGTTTCCTACTTGTACCCACCTGCTTCCTAGTTCACCCATTCCGTTCCTGATTCTAACATGGTATTATTGTCAAACTTATCTGCTATAGTCTGTGTAGGCTGTAGTGGGGTAGACTATATGGGGTACAACACTTTTAGGTTTTCCTACTTGTACCCACCTGCTTGTTAGTTCATTCATTCCTCATTTCTTCACATGGTATAGAGCAGGTTCCCTAGTGGGAATGCTTCCTTGGGCCCACCACTAATTTTTTTTTTTCTGACCGGAGCCCAGTCGCTTCTGCCCGAGGCGCGTTTTGAGCGCCTTAGAGGCTCCTCTCATGACCCCTCGTGCCGCCCCTAGCGGCCCCGTCGCCGCCTTTCCAGGCCTCTCGCGGCCCCTAGCGGCTCCGTCGCCGCCCCTACGCGGCCCCGTCGCTGCCCCTAGCGGCCCCGTCGCCGCCCCTACGCGGCCCCGTCGCCGCCCCTAGCGGCCCCGTCGCTGCCCCTAGCGGCCCCGTCGCCGCCCCTACGCGGCCCCGTCGCCGCCCCTAGCGGCCCCGTCGCCGCCCCTAGCGGCCCCGTCGCCGCCTCCCTACCTACGCGGCCCCGTCGCCGCCCCTAGCGGCCCTGTCGCCGCCCCTCCGCGGCCCCGTCGCCGCCCCTGGCGGCCCCGTCGCCGCCCCTACGCGGCCCCGTCGCTGCCCCTAACGGCCCCGTCGCCGCCCCCCTACCTACGCGGCTCCGTCGCCGCCCCTAGCGGCCCTGTCGCCGCCCCTACGCGGCCCCGTCGCCGCCCCTGGCGGCCCCGTCGCCGCCCCTACGCGGCCCCGTCGCCGCCCCCAGCGGCCCCGTCGCCGCCTCCCTACCTACGCGGCTCCGTCGCCACCCCTAGCGGCCCTGTCGCCGCCCCTACGCGGCTCAGTCGCCGCCACTAGCGGCCCTGTCGCCGCCCCTACGCGGCCCCGTCGCCGCCCCTGGCGGCCCCGTCGCCGCCCCTACGCGGCCCCGTCGCCGCCCCTAGCGGCCCCGTCGCCGCCTCATTCCCTACGCTGCCCCGTTGCCGCCCCTAGCGGCCCCCCCCCACCCCCCCCCTCGCCGCCTCTACCGGCCGCTGAGCCGCCCAGCATCTGAGCAGCCGAACCACCCAGCAGCAGCCGCCCAGCAGCCGAGCCGCCGAGCCGCCGAGTCGCCCAGCAACCGAGCTGCCGAGCCGCCCAGCAGCCGAGCCGCCCAGCAGCCGAGCCGCCGAGCTGCCGAGCCGCCCAACAGCCGAGCCGCCGAGCCGCCCGGCAGCCGAGCCGCCGAGCCGCCCAGCAGCCGAGCCGCCGAGCCGCCCTGCCGCTGAGCCGCCACTGTTCCCGCCGGCGCGCCCCGGCCCTACTTACTCGGACTGGTGAGATCCCTCCCTGCTAGGCCACTGCAGTCATGGCTACCCCCAGTGTCCTTACCTTTGATGCTGAGGGTCGTGCTGTTGACTTTGAGGTCTGGGTCGATGACCTCCAGCTGTTCCTACAGTGCGATAGGGCTGACGGACTCTCCCTGTTCGATCTCACCTCTGGTGCCTCTCCTGCCCCGCCTGCTACTGCTGACAGCACTTTTCGCTCACAGTGGGCCACACGCGATGCTGTTGCCCGTCTTGCTGTGCGTCGCCACTTACCGACCACTGAGCGTGCGCACTTTAGCCAGTACAAGGGCGCTAAGACCTTGTACGATGCTGTAGTTGCACGCTACTCCTCCCCTGCCACTGCTGCGCTTAGCCGCCTCATGCTGCCGTACCTGTTCCCTGACCTTGCTGCCTTTCCCACAGTCGCTGACCTCATTACGCACCTTCGCACTAGTGACACTCGCTACCGCGCTGCGCTTCCTGCTGAGTTCTGTGCCAAGAACCCCCCCCCCATGTACATCACCCTCTACTACATAGTCACCCGGCTCCCTGACTCCCTTCGCTTAGTCAGGGACCACTTCCTCTCAGTTTGCCCCACCACACTCACCGTTGACCTCCTCGAGGAGCGCCTCCTAGCAGCAGAGCAGAGCATAGTCGCTGTAGGAGCCTCTCGTGGTGACCCTCGCACCCCCGTCTTTGAGGGGTGTTCCCCCTCCCCCCTCTTGCCCTCAGTTGCTTCTGCTGCTGCGGCCGACCTCGTTTGTTTCGAGTCGGTCGGCGCTGCGTCTGCCCCTAGCGGGAGACGCCGCACCGGCAAGGGCAAGGGGGGCAAGGGCACTGGAGGGGCTAGCGGGGGCGGTGGAGGTGGTGGTGGAGGCAGTGGAGGGGGTTGGGGTGGTGGTGGGCGTGGTGGCGGGGGTGGAGGTGTCGGTCGCAGCAGTGGAGGCGGAGGAGGCGGCGGCGGTGGCGGAGGGAGCGGAGGCGGCGGAGGTGGAGGAGGCGGCGGAGGTGGCGGAGGCGGCGGAGGCAGCGGTGGAGCTGGTCGCGGCTCTACGCAGAGGAGTGGCTCCGGTGGTGGTCAGCGCCAGCAGCAGCAGCGCAGTCGTGAGACCCCGTCCCCCCAGCAGCTTCGTGAGTGGTACGCTGGGCGTCAGCGAGGTGGGTGTACTGGTCCCTGCACCTACGTCCTCCGTACCGGCGACCGCGCTGGTGAGCAGTGCGGGGGCCCGCACTCCACCCAGCGCTGCTTCGGCCGCCTGACGGACGCGTGGCGTCACCATTCCCTGACGCCACTGAGATCCCTCGCTGGGGAGACCTGTCTAGGGCGGGGGTTGCTATCTTTGATCTTGATTATGATGCTATTCTTGCTGCCATGTATGCTGTGTCTACTAGTGATGAGGGTGACTGTTACCTGTGTCTTCCGCCTGACCCGGGCATTGAGGCTGCTGCTCTAGGTGCTGGTGAGACTGCTGCTCTAGGTGCTAGTGCGTCTGCTGCTCCAGGTGCTGGTGAGTCTGCTCTCTCAGGTAGCACGTCAGCTCAGGCCTTACACACCTTCACCCTTGACTCGGGTGCTTCCCGCTCCTTCTTTCGAGACTGCACCACGCTTACGCCGCTTAGTCGGCCGGTTGCGGTCTCCCTGGCGGACCCCTCTGGGGGTCCTGTCCTTGCTAGCTTCTCCACTGTCTTACCGTGTCCGGCAGCCCCCTCTGGCACCATGTCAGGTCTCTACCTCCCCTCGTTCTCTACGAACTTGGTGAGTGGAGCTGATCTACAGGATCAGGGGGTTGACCAGTTCACTCCTGCGAGTCAGCGGGTGACCCACTGCACGTGTGCTCGGACGGGCCGACACTTGGCCACGTTTACCCGTCGGCCGGGGTCGAGCCTGTACACACTGTCTACTGCGGTTACTGCGTCTGGTCAGGTAGCTGTGTCGAGTCAGGTGTTTGCTGCAGCGTCCAGGTCTGGTCCTGAGTCTGCGCCCTGCTCGTGTCGTCTCCTGTCCCACCAGACTCTCCTCTGGCACCACCGCCTTGGTCACCCCTCCCTGCCTCGTCTCCGAGGCATGGCCTCCCGTGTCCTTGTCTCTGGTCTCCCCCGGTCCCTACCTCCCCTACCTCCGGGGCCTGCCCCTACCTGCGTCCCCTGCGTCGAGGGGCGACAGCGCGCCGCCCCTCACTCCTCCGAGTTTCCTCCGACAGAGGCTCCACTGCAGACTCTTCACATGGACGTGTGGGGCCCCGCCCGCGTCCGTGGCCAGGGTCACGAGCGTTACTTCCTGTTGGTGGTTGACGACTACTCGCGTTACACCACGGTGT